AAAATGGGGGATGTTGTTGGTTGTCACTGCCTAAATACATAGTACATGATTGAGTAGACAAAGTCAAGGTGTCGAAAAAAGCATAATTCATACAATTCGTCTTGTGGCTGGCCTTTACGAGTAGTTTAATGCGTTCTATGTATTCTAGGTTATATAACTCACTACCGACATATTTTAATGTGGCTTATGCCTCCTTTTCATTGATTGACTTTATGCTAACGAGTGACAGTTGAAACCACATTATTGTAATCAAGCACAATGTCCCTTCATTACATCATTCTTTAATTTTTGCTTCTTTTGAAATCAATATGAGAACTTTGAACGAAGTAGTAGAGTACAAGGATTATAATAGTATAAACTGGAACGGCTTACAACAAACTTTGAGTAAATTTGACACATCCGTATTCTACTCAACTAGTGACGTCACTGCCAATTGATTGAAGAACTATTTCTATATGTACTTAAATGGATGAATAACAGAGAAATTGTATTCGCTCAGTCCTTAAGAGGTGTGCCATATTAAGCTTTTCAATGGAATAGCGCTGATGAAAACTGGAGTATTTTTAGAAAATATCAACAGGGCTAAATCCTTGATTGGAAGAGAGGTGCATATTATGACGGTGTTGATAGTGCAATTTATGGCGGTGATGTGGATGCGCTGAACAATTTTGCATTAGATGGTGGTACTGGTGTGGTTGCAGTGATTTATGTTGACATTAAAGATGTTAGTAATGTACACTCATTTGAGTGCGCGAGAAGCAAGTATGTTGTAGTTGTGTTAGATAAAATTAAATCGAGGTCAGTAAGCGTGGATGAAAAACCACTTGAGTTTATACCCTACACCACACTATAGTCTGGGTATTAAGTCTTTATGCATTTGTTTGTAACATGGAGAAGGAAGCTAGATATAGACATAACTCCTTTTGATGATCTGCACAGAATCACATAATAAGTCGATTTATACATGTCCGTATGTCCATGTATTTTTGTAAACAAAGTACAGGTCGCATCTATTGCCCCAAATGTGTAACATTAGCCCAAATAGGATGAAATTGAGCTTATACGACAAATTTAACATAGAAATAATTGGGTCAAATTAGGTGGAAATTGTAGATAGGGCTATATCTCCCATATAAACGTTTAATCTAATTTGTTATTTTTGTCTTTCACAACAGTCATTATGCACTCTGTAACAACGATATTCACTGAAATATGACGAATCTAGCTCAGAAATACCAGTGTAAAGTAGAATAGAGTCCAATCTCCCTCTTCGATTGTCAACTCTATTCTGTGTTCGGTGAGAAAAGAAACACGACCGCTTCGTTAGGGTGCTATTTCAATTCTAGTTTTATTTCAAAAATATTTCCCTTACGTACTACTGAAAGTAATCTAACTTAACCTAGTCGCAGCCACACAATTGTTCTTATCTAATCTAATATTGAATGGAGAACATTGCAGGGCTACTTGACATCTCATTCAAGTGGTCTTGTGCATCTACTGACATATGTGTGCGTGTGGGTCATAACCTTTATTATCTAACGCATTATCGTATGCGTCAGCGCACAAGATCACCGAATTCTTCACATGTGATATTTTATGGCGGCTGGGAAATATTTAATTTTAGAACATTTATTTTTTATTGCTACATTTTCCCAGCGCCTCAACCGCACTCAAAAGTATGTACAAAGTATTTTGTACAACCAGTATTATACCAGCTTTCAGATTCAGCAAAGAAATACGTCTGCTTAATTTTATAGAGATCGGTTCAGATTTGGATATATCTCCTATACATGTCTTCATCCAATTTCAGTTTTACTGTGCCTAAGAAATGTGAAATCACTAAATTCACCATAGAAACGTTTAGTCGTAATAAATATGCAAAGTGGTGTAAAGTATAAGGTCCCGCCTGATTTTTAGCCGTTCTTTGCTTGTTTTTATTCGGAGATGTTTACTATGTAATGCTGTTTTGGCCTAAAAAGACTTTTGTGTTACAAATGCGAATAAAAAATATCAAAATGCTTACTTTTAGGCATTCTAAAGGTTATAGAATGTTACCCCAGTCCGAACTTAATGTTTTTTTACTTGTTTACGTACCATATTTCATTTAACCATGTCACAAATATCAACTTACTTTTCAAACGCATAATACATTCGTTAATGGATCTCTTTTCAGGTTACGGATGGGCAATATTCGCGGATGGGCGGGGCAAATGCCATCTACCTTACGTAAAATTCAAATGATACTGCAACGAAAAATTATTGCTAGACAGAGGGCTTTTGGAATGAAGGTGGCTGTTCCTGCATTCTCCGGTTATATTCCCGTGGCAATGGAGCGGATTTTTCCAAATAAATCCTTTGTTAAAGCCTCTTCTTGGAATAACTTTTCTGATAATTACTGTTGCTCCTTATTTATAAAACCTTTTGAGCCGTTATTTCGTGAAATTTCGGATTCATTTTTAAAAAAAATAATATCTACTTATGGCACGGATCACATATATTTCACCGACCCATTTAATGAAATGAAGCCACAATCTTCCGATCCTGAATATTTAAAAAATACTGCTAAATATATATTCGAGGCAATGCATGCTCTTGATCACCATGCAGTTTGGCTTCTGCAGAGTTGGATGTTTAATAACAACGCATTTTGGAAAAACACTCAAATAAAGGCATTCTTAACGGCTGTACCAAGAGGTTCGTTACTAGTATTGGATTTGCAGAGTGAACAATTCCCGCTGTATGAAAAAACATTTTTTTTTTATGGACAACCTTTTATTTGGTGCATGCTCCATAATTTCGGAGGTACTTTGGGGATGCATGGTTCGTCTGAAAAAGTCAACAAAGATATAAGTCATGCCCAATCAAAAGCCAATAACTCCATGGTGGGTGTAGGCATTACACCCGAAGGCATTAATCAAAATTATGTAATGTATGCACTAGCATTGGAAAGGGGTTGGGAAAAAGATCAATATAATCTAACAGAGTGGTTTAATCTTTATTCTGATTCACGATATGGCACCCACACACACTATTTGCACCAAGCTTGGCAGCTATTAAGACGATCAGTTTATTCATACAATGGATTAAAGAAAATACATGGAAAATATATAATTGCGCGTCGCCCATCTATACATCTTGATGATTCTATGTGGTACAACATTTCAGATATCTATGAGGCATGGTCCCACATACTTAAATCTAAATGCGACATTCCTCATAGTCACATCAACGAATATGAACACGATTTAGTCGACATAACTAGGCAGTACTTACAAATAAAATTCGGGCAATTATATAAGAAAATGATAGACGCGTTTAAAAAGAGAAATTATGTTGAGTTTGAAGACTTAACCGACACTATGTTGACTATCTTATTTGATTTGGAAAATATTTTATCAACAAATAAAGCATTTTTGCTAGGAAATTGGATTGGAGGTTCTCATAGTTTGTCGACGAATGTGAGAGAAAAACTAATTTTTGAGTTCAACGCTCGTAACCAAATAACACTATGGGGACCAAATGGAGAAATAGCAGATTACGCAACAAAGCAGTGGTCCGGTGTTGTCGAAGATTACTTTTATCCTAGATGGAAACTGTTTTTTGATTACCTTAGATATTGTCTACACAAAACCCAGCCCATTAACCTAACTCTTATTACCAATGATATATTAATTTTAGTGGAAATCCCCTTCAACTATCAACGGAAAATATATCCGACAATCCCACGCGGAAATGCATACCAAACATCAAAAAAAATTTTTTTGAAATGGTAATTCGTTTCAATGATTATAAATTTTGTTGCGAGTAGTAGAAGTTGTCAACAATGGAAGAAATGCGTGGTAAGTTCATCTTTTAAAATTAAATAATTATAAATTAAAAAAAAAATTATTTGTTTTTTCTTTACTTTTATTAGTTTCTTCTGACTTCTTGATTTGGATTTATGGAGACCACAATAGTCCTTAAGCATGTAGTGTTAAATTTCTCACTTATGTTTACTTCATGGTTTCTTGGATTGAATTACAAAATTTGATGGTTTCATATTTGCTAATAAATGTATAAAACCTAATAAAAACTGCTTGTAGATGTGTGCGCATGTATGATATGAACACAAGGGATGATAAACTTTAATGCTGCTGGAGACGCATTGATAATAAAGAATATTCTCACATAAACATGCCCTCAGCTGGGGAGTAAATATAGATCACGACAATTGTGTGTTGTGTTAGGCCTTTGCATAAGAATTAGAAATGTCAAGTGTTGTAATCTTAGGCAGAAGCATAAAATTAAACCGCCCTTTGAGATATGTTTTATCTTAGCACTTAAGTAATATATTTTTTTCTCAATAAAATTAAAATTCAACTGACAAACGAACCGACATGTCTTACAATTTGATTCTCCCGCTAACACCATCTCACAAATATTAACTTACCTTTCAAACGCATAATACATTCGTTAATGGATCTCTTTTCAGGTTACGGATGGGCAATATTCGCGGATGGGCGGGGCAAATGCCATCTACCTTACGTAAAATTCAAATGATACTGCAACGAAAAATTATTGCTTGACAGAGGGCATTTGGAATGAAGGTGGCTGTTCCTGCATTCTCCGGTTATATTCCCGTGGCAATGGAGCGGATTTTTCCAAATAAATCCTTTGTTAAAGCCTCTTCGCGCGTTTAGGAAAAACACTCAAATAAAGTCATTCTCAACGGCTGTACCAAGAGGTTCGTTATAGTATTGGATTTGCGGAGTGAACAATTCACGCTGTATGAAAAAAAAAACTTTTTTTATGGAAGCCTTTTATTTGGTGCATGCTCCATAATTTCGGAGGTCCTTTGGGGATGCATGGTTCGTCTGAAAAAATCAACAAAGATATAAATCATGCCCAATCAAAAGCCAACAACTCCATGGTGGGTGTAGGCATTACACACGAAGGCATTAATCAAAATTATGTAATGTATGCACTAGCATTGGAAAGGGGTTGGGATAAAGATCAATACAACCTAACAAAGTCGTTTAATCTTCGTTACTAGTATTGGATTTGCAGAGTGAACAATTCCCGCTGTATGAAAAAACATTTTTTTTTTATGGACAACCTTTTATTTGGTGCATGCTCCATAATTTCGGAGGTACTTTGGGGATGCATGGTTCGTCTGAAAAAGTCAACAAAGATATAAGTCATGCCCAATCAAAAGCCAATAACTCCATGGTGGGTGTAGGCATTACACCCGAAGGCATTAATCAAAATTATGTAATGTATGCACTAGCATTGGAAAGGGGTTGGGAAAAAGATCAATATAATCTAACAGAGTGGTTTAATCTTTATTCTGATTCACGATATGGCACCCACACACACTATTTGCACCAAGCTTGGCAGCTATTAAGACGATCAGTTTATTCATACAATGGATTAAAGAAAATACATGGAAAATATATAATTGCGCGTCGCCCATCTATACATCTTGATGATTCTATGTGGTACAACATTTCAGATATCTATGAGGCATGGTCCCACATACTTAAATCTAAATGCGACATTCCTCATAGTCACATCAACGAATATGAACACGATTTAGTCGACATAACTAGGCAGTACTTACAAATAAAATTCGGGCAATTATATAAGAAAATGATAGACGCGTTTAAAAAGAGAAATTATGTTGAGTTTGAAGACTTAACCGACACTATGTTGACTATCTTATTTGATTTGGAAAATATTTTATCAACAAATAAAGCATTTTTGCTAGGAAATTGGATTGGAGGTTCTCATAGTTTGTCGACGAATGTGAGAGAAAAACTAATTTTTGAGTTCAACGCTCGTAACCAAATAACACTATGGGGACCAAATGGAGAAATAGCAGATTACGCAACAAAGCAGTGGTCCGGTGTTGTCGAAGATTACTTTTATCCTAGATGGAAACTGTTTTTTGATTACCTTAGATATTGTCTACACAAAACCCAGCCCATTAACCTAACTCTTATTACCAATGATATATTAATTTTAGTGGAAATCCCCTTCAACTATCAACGGAAAATATATCCGACAATCCCACGCGGAAATGCATACCAAACATCAAAAAAAATTTTTTTGAAATGGTAATTCGATTCAATGATTATAAATTTTATTGCGAGTAGTAGAAGTTGTCAACAATGGAAGAAATGCGTGGTAAGTTCATCTTTTAAAATTAAATAATTATAAATTAAAAAAAAAATTATTTGTTTTTTCTTTACTTTTATTAGTTTCTTCTGACTTCTTGATTTGGATTTATGGAGACCACAATAGTCCTTAAGCATGTAGTGTTAAATTTCTCACTTATGTTTACTTCATGGTTTCTTGGATTGAATTACAAAATTTGATGGTTTCATATTTGCTAATAAATGTATAAAACCTAATAAAAACTGCTTGTAGATGTGTGCGCATGTATGATATGAACACAAGGGATGATAAACTTTAATGCTGCTGGAGACGCATTGATAATAAAGAATATTCTCACATAAACATGCCCTCAGCTGGGGAGTAAATATAGATCACGACAATTGTGTGTTGTGTTAGGCCTTTGCATAAGAATTAGAAATGTCAAGTGTTGTAATCTTAGGCAGAAGCATAAAATTAAACCGCCCTTTGAGATATGTTTTATCTTAGCACTTAAGTAATATATTTTTTTCTCAATAAAATTAAAATTCAACTGACAAACGAACCGACATGTCTTACAATTTGATTCTCCCGCTAACACCATCTCACAAATATTAACTTACCTTTCAAACGCATAATACATTCGTTAATGGATCTCTTTTCAGGTTACGGATGGGCAATATTCGCGGATGGGCGGGGCAAATGCCATATACCTTACGTAAAATTCAAATGATACTGCAACGAAAAATTATTGCTTGACAGAGGGCATTTGGAATGAAGGTGGCTGTTCCTGCATTCTCCGGTTATATTCCCGTGGCAATGGAGCGGATTTTTCCAAATAAATCCTTTGTTAAAGCCTCTTCGCGCGTTTAGGAAAAACACTCAAATAAAGTCATTCTCAACGGCTGTACCAAGAGGTTCGTTATAGTATTGGATTTGCGGAGTGAACAATTCACGCTGTATGAAAAAAAAAACTTTTTTTATGGAAGCCTTTTATTTGGTGCATGCTCCATAATTTCGGAGGTCCTTTGGGGATGCATGGTTCGTCTGAAAAAATCAACAAAGATATAAATCATGCCCAATCAAAAGCCAACAACTCCATGGTGGGTGTAGGCATTACACACGAAGGCATTAATCAAAATTATGTAATGTATGCACTAGCATTGGAAAGGGGTTGGGATAAAGATCAATACAACCTAACAAAGTCGTTTAATCTTTATTCTGATTTACGATATGGCACACCCAAACACTATTTGCATCAAGCTTGGCAGCTATTAAAAATATCAGTTTATTCATGCCCATGTATACATCTTTCAGATACACTATTTCAGATATTTATGAGGCATGATCCCACATATTTGAATCTAAATGGGACATTCCTCATAGTCACATCAACGAATATGAACATGATTTAGTCAACATAACTAGGCAGTACTTACAAATAAAGTTCGGAGAATTACATAAAAATGATAAACGCATTACAAAGAGAAAGGATGTCGAATTTGAAGACTTAACCGACACTATGTTGAATATCTTATTGGATTTGGAAAATATTTTATCAACAAATAAAGCCTTTTCGCTAGGAAATTGGATTGGAGGTTCTCATAGTTTATCGACGAATGTGAGAGAAAAACTAATTTTTGAGTTCAACGCTCGTAACCAAATAACACTATGGGGACCAAATGGAGAAATAGCAGATTACGCAACAAAGCAGTGATCCGGTGTAGTCGAAGATTACTTTTATCCAAGATGGTGACTGTTTCTTGATTACCTTAGATATTGCCAACACAAAAACCAGCCCATTAACCTAACTCTTATTACCAATGATATATTAATTTTAGTGGAAATTCCTTTCAATTATCAACAGAAAAAATATCCGACATCCTGTAATGTATGGTTTTAGACTCTATTTCTAATAATTAATTCACAATAATTATTTTGGTTACTCGTGGGCAACCCTAAAATCGCAAAAACTAATTTGTGTTTCTTTCACAGAAATACTTATTAAACACAGACCCAGTTATCGATCGTCACTCTCTCAATTCCTCATTATCACCAAAAGCAACTGAAAAGAGGCATAGAAAGAACTATTGAACCATTGAGGCTTCCTTTTCTTACAATACTACGAACAGTACAGAACACTTAAGAAAACCAATAAAAGTTAAGTAATAAATCCAAATTTTCCAATTTAATCAAGTAGTGGAATTCTTTAAAAGCTACTCAAACTTCTGTGGTGAAAACATTTAGAGGTAAAGATTCAATTATTTCGTGCTTTCTCAAGTGGAAAATGTGAAAAAGTTTAAATCCAAAAATAATTTTCAAATTATAGTGAATACCAATCCATATTCGGAATATCTTGCAAACTCATGGTGTCCAAGTTCTCCAAAACCATGTGGAGATGGATCTTCATTTTTGGAAAACAAAAGTTAAATACTGAATTCAAGCTGTAAACGACACCACAGAATTTATTTCATCCAACAACGTTTTCCCGCTTCAAAAACTCTGCACAATAAGATTCTCAAGAACCAAGGCTTTTGGTCTGGCCATAAATCCGGCGCTAAATGCCTGGACTAAGAAGTCGGCCATTAAACAGAAATTTAAGTCTGTAATTTTAAACAGGTATTTGAAGAACACTGCCGTTCTCGGATAAAGAAAAAACACAACCTAAAATCCGAGTCATCAGCTTCACATACTATTCAGCACCTTACAACACAAATTTTAAGTACAGTAGGCAACTTAAGCCATAAGAAACTTAAACCTTAATTTTCAAAAAAAAAAAACAAAATCTAAAATTAGTTACAATCTAAAATATACTAGCTTATGATTATTACTATCTTCCTTTCTCAAAAGTCTATATGAACTCTTAACTTCATAATTACATATTAAAAATTAATCCTATAAGAAAAATAATATTACCTAAAAAAATCAAACTTTAAAATTTTCAAACTTAAACTAATTAATTAAAATAGGAAAAGTCCGTAGATCATATTCCAGTATTGAATAAATTATCACGCAACATAATTATAACCTTTTTGTGCACTTTAACAAACGAACATCATCATCAATCGTCAACTTCATGAAGGCCTTCGAGAACGTTAGACGCTCTGGTGAGTAAATGTAATGATCATTAATGTAATTGCCATTGGTTATTTTTATTTAAAACATAAATGAAAGAAGAAGCAATAAAATAGTTCCTACCTTTTTGTTGCTTCTATCAATCGATCGATTTGTTGTTTTTGCACAAAGTACAAAAGAAGAACGAAACAAAAACAAAATTGTTCTTACTTCTGATCAACCATCGACTGGTATTATTTTGTAGCTTTTTGTGATCAATTTGTTCTTGTTTCTGTTTGCGCAAGGTATGAATGAAAGAAATATGTAAAATACGCACAATCCATTTGTTGTTATTTTTGTTGATGTAATTGAAATTGAATGTAATTGCATTCTTCATTCATAACTAGCCATTCATACATATTTAGGGTTACCATGTCAGAAAATATTGAGCCTAAAATATCGTAAGTTAAAAAATCTTAAAATATAACTTTTAAAATAAAATTTTTGTAAACATCTATAACTCATTGAAAAAAAAATGTAATTAAATTGTTTAATATATCAGGCCTTAGGGCATACAAATATTTAAAAAAAAAATCGGAAGAGCGTAATTACAAGTATTCTATTCTATCATTAATCCGCTATTTATCTTCTATATATGTATATATACATTTAATTTAAATTATGTCTTGAATAAATTATATGGTAATATGAATTTCTAAGGAAATAACCCATTGTTTTCGTAAGATGTAGTAGTGTGTGACCAAATATTATATTGGGGACCCTTTAAAGTAGCGCACAAGGGACATAGGTAAGGGAGGGCAAGGATGCGCTGATCTCAAGACATCTGAGATCCAGGTAATTGAATGTATCCGCCACAAAATTATTAATTATTCACAAAAAAATAGGGAGTCTATAAAATATTCTGTAAACTAAATCCATTTCGTTGGACTCAGGACATAACCCCCCCAAGACCGACTGCAGCTAGAATACAATGGCTCCCGTAGTCCTAAATCCACGGAATTAATTGGTGAACTATCTTCCACTGGCGATACCTTACAAAAGTTTAAAATTTCCATCTTTCATCGGTCTCATCTAGGTTCCTCGCAAACAAGAAAAGGTTTTATTACAGAAATGGCGCCCAACGTGGGGCAGAAATGCATTTTGTATTTTCTTCCCAAACAAATACCAGTCCATCCTACATAGAGTACATTTGAATGCAATAGTCACAATCTTATGTATCAGTTAAGAGTAGATTTGGGAATACATCGATTGAACTTTTTAGGAACCTCGTCTGCTTGAGTTTTACTCGATTAGATTGACCATTTAGTGTCATCGTTGAATTTTCTGGGTCTATAATTCGCTAATATATCAAGACTCCAAAATTTATATACCAATGTTAGAGAGTGGTTTAGTTTAACTGAACTTAGTTACCGAGTACGGCATTTATTTGGAAATTCTTTTAGCTGAATGCAATGCAATGTCCACTAATGTCAGTATATAGGAAAAGAAGAAAACTTCGGTTTGTTCTTAAGCTAGAAAACTTTTCTTACATTTTTCAAACATAGCCAATAAATTTATCAGCACATTCAATTACCTTAATTTTCAGGTCCACACCCACTGATACGAAAACTGAAACTTTGATACTATTTTTTCATTATAAAACTCGTCTTTATTTTAACTTTCCAAATTGTATTTTACGAAAACTCATAAATATGGCTCTATCAAGAACTCCTCCTCTACCCATTTCTGTGTCAAATGAACCAAATTTTACGTGCTCCATTTGCAATGAAAATTTACTGGAAAATCAAGAGTGTATGTACATTGCTCAATGTCATCACTCATTTCACCGAAATTGTATTGAAAATTTCCTCTCAAATGCAACGGAATGTCCCACCTGCACTCGTCCTTGTGAATTATCAGAATTACGTTCTATGAACCCTCAAAATGACACATTGCACCTAATCCAAAATGAATACCATGATACACATAATATTTCTCAAGAATCGCAGAGGCAGAAATCAAACCCTAATAGAGGGAAAAGACGTGGCGCTTTGGCTAAGCAGTACAACACCAGAAGCTCAGCTCGAAACACATCATGTGATTCAAATCAGTTATTACTCCCTGATGTATTCGATAGCTTTCCAAATTCTGCAGAAGAGAATGCTACAACAGCTAATGCAAATAGGGTACAGGTTCCAAGTTCAAATCCAAGAACTTCACATCGACCCAATATACCTAAGGTTAACAATAATATAGATTATGGACTTATAAACCGAATGATAGAAACAAGCATAAGCAAACTTTTGCAAAATCTAGATATCCGTCGAAATACGACTAACCCAAACAATGATTTATCTTCAACGCAACGACCTCTCAATAGTCAGCCAACCGGCAACGATCTTCCACAAACTTCCAGGACTTACACTCCAAGCTACAATTCTTCATTAACATCTGATAAAATTACATCCATTATTAGAAACTGGAATCTGCAGTTTGATGGCTCAGCACAAG